GATGTGCAGCACAACTATTAGAACTGTCAGACACATGCACACCTGCACATACATCACCTTTGGATACCAGTGATTGATGAGATGAACCATGAACCACTATATTGACCAAGAGTTACTGAAACTCTTGGATAAACAGAATAGTGAATCCCAATAGGAGTTCCAGGTTTCTCAACTTCCCTTGATTCTCTCTTCTGCCATTCATAGCAAAGATCTTCCCACATATGGGGGTAAAAAAGGAGGAAGGGGCAGGGGCTGTTGTTAAAGATTTTTCTGCTATTAGTTTTGCTACAGGGCTTGTATGGTTGGATGTAATGATTAGGCTAAACTTGTAAAGGTAACATTTAAAACTATTTTTTTGAAAACTTTAACAAATACATATTGATACAGTCAAATTATATTGCAAGATTGCTTGGAATCTGGTCTTAAATGCTATCCCAGGGCCTGTTTATTATTAACACAAGGAAGTGGTTTTGGGATGAGACAAAGCACTCAAGTAGTAGAGTATACTGGTAGGGTCTTTAGGTTACTAAGTCTTTTTTCTTAAAGGAGACAGTTGCAGGCCTCTTCATCCCCTGTTTTTGTTTCCTGGTTATGAGGTAAATGTCTTCTTATGCTCTGTGCCCTTGTGTGGTGGTTCGAAAGAAAATGGCTCCCAAAGGGAATGGTGCTATTAGGAGGTATGGACGTGTTGGACAAGGTGTGTCACTGTGGAGGCGGACTTTGAGGTCTCTTTTTCTCAAGCTTCCCTTGGAGTGGCAGTCAGTTGACTTCCTGTTGCCTCTGAGTTAAGATATAGGACTCTCAGATCTAGCAGCACATCTACCTGTGTGCTGCCGTGCTCCCCATCCTGATGATAATGTGCTGAGCCTCTGGACTGTAGGCAAGTCACCTCAACTAAATGTTTTTATTTATAACAGTTGTTACGGTCATCGTGTTTCTTTTCTTTTTCTTTTAAAATATTTATTTATTTACTTTTTATTTATACAATATTCTGTCTGCAGGTCAGAAGAGGGCGCCAGACCTCATTACAGATGGTTGTGAGCCACCATGTGGTTGCTGGGAATTGAACTCAGGACCTTTGCAAGAGCAGGCAATGCTCTCAACCCCTGAGCCATCTCTCCAGCCCCGTTGTGTTTCTTCACAACAATAAAAACACCTTGCCACAATGCACTGCCTTTCCACAACCCTGAAATTAATGAGCCCTATTGATCACGGACTGGAATATGCAATATTGTGAACCCAAATAAAAATTTTCTCCTTATATGTTGCTTATCTCAGGAATTTGTTACAGTTATAGAAAGCTGATTAATGCAACAATAGTAGTTATGATTTAAAAAAGTACTGGTAGAACTTGCATAGAGGTGTTTGGTGCATTGGGTAGAAATGCGAATTTCTCGGAATATTCCCTTCAGAGGTAGCCAGTTTACTTCCAGACTAGATTTCTTAGCACAAACATCCAAGCTGTACCTGGAGGACCTCTAGAGATTTACTTGTCTGCAACTATTTATTGGTTACTTAGTTTTGACCTGGTAATATTTCATACATAGAGAAGAAATTGGTTTTCTTGCCCGTTATGACAGAAACTCTAAGTCTCTGCAAGATGCAAAAGCATAAGTGTGAAATTTATTTCTCTGGCAGTCGATATATCTTTTAAAATATTCAAAGAGCAGACTGGCTATAGATGTTGGAAAGTAAGTTAATTTTGTATTCATTCTTCCGTCACCTGATACCTTTCTCTGTGGCAATTTCCTTCTTGTTTGATTTAGCCTGATCACAGTATTCTTCCTGGAACAGAAGGAGGAAGGCCAACAACTCATCATTTGTGTTCCACTGCCATGTCAAAACGAGCACACACTTCCAAACTTATATATCCATGCATGCTGGATTCTTGATTGACTAGTTCTACAACTTCAAAATATCATCCCATTTCAGTTCTCCGGGGATCTAGAGGAGGAAGTAGGTAAGGCAATGTTTAAAGTGGTTTCGGTATCCCAGGCCCCAACAAAAAGATAAATCCTAAATTCTCCCCCTACCATGTACCAGGAACAAGTAAGGAATGAACAGCATGGGGGGGCACCCATTGAAGTCCTGTGCGCGACACAGTTTTGGTTCCCTGTTTTATTGCCACCTTCTTTAGTGGGAAGAAGGCAGGTGTTTCATTTCTTGTCTGCATGCTTCCAGTCCTCAATCCTGTTTATCTAAGAAGGCGATCCGTGCAGACAAGTTGCTCAGTTGCAGACTTTTATATTTGGAAAGTCTGCTTGAGTCATCTTTGTGGGTAGTGGAGCGAGAAGGCGTGTTCCTTCAATGGTTTTAATCTGCGATTTTGGATGGGCAGTCCTATTATTAGAACTGTCAGAGGATTAAAAGAAATAAGTGTTTTCCAGCAAAACTGCAATGAGCAATGGGATTCAAGTCACACAGCTGGGAAGTGTGAGATCTGGTGCCGGTGCCCAGGACTATGATGACAATAATGCTGAATCATTCCATGACTTCATCATATAAGCGATCCATCCTTCTTTTTGTCTGTACTTTCTTTATATTTTATCCTTATCGTTGGCATAAAACTTAGGATATTATATTGCCTTTTGTGTGCTCAGAACGAGATCTAGTACATAATATTTACTAAAAAATAGTTTGTAGTTGAATGTTTAAATATGAATATATGTGTCTACTTACTTCAAGGGGCTGTGTGCTCCTTAATTCATAGGTACAGCTTTGTAGATTATATGCCTCAGTACTCTGATTGCAGCATCATATCTCTGTTGTAATGAAGCTAGAACCTTCCCAAGTGTAGCTGAGTGCTGTTTGCATATTCTCCATCTCATCAACCTTGAGTCATATTTTTTTCCCTTTATTTATAGATCCTTTCTATTTCTCTTCCTTTTCTTTTCTCTACCTTCTGTTTCCTTTTTTCTTACTTCATATTCATGACATCCCTGTCATTCCTTTGCCTCTTCTCTTTGCCTGCCTTCTTTAAAAGCAATAGCTATAGATAAATCTCTGTGTGATATATACATTTGACACAAAAGGCCAAAAGATTAACATTATACTAAATAGCCCCCATTTTGTGTATGTGTGATGTTGTTTAGAAGAATTAGTACTGACCTAAAACCCCGTGCCAAGTCCTTGAGGAACATGATTGACCCCTTAGTGTCTTTAAGTATCTGACTCCCAAGTAAGATGGCAAAGTTCACGGGAAAGGATCAGCGCATCAGGTGTTATTAATTAGTAATTCTGCATTAATGCCAATAAGGAAGACACCAAACCATTCCCAAGTCAGGTTATTGTCTCACCTGTTCTGTATGAATGGTCCCTGAGGATCATTGTAACTATTTTTCACCTAGAAAGATTACACCCGATTATATCTAGTGTCTGGCCACTATTTTGCTGTGGTGAAAAGAGTTTGAACTTGGTAAATAAACACTTTGGCCTTCACTGTGTTTCAAGCGCCCATGGTGCTTGCTGTGGGGGTACGGCTCCCAAGCTTACAGCAGAGTTGAAAAGTTAGAAATGTTGCAAGTGAACCGGGGGAGTAACATTTGTCTACAAAGCCAGCGCTTAGGAGGCTCAAGTAGAAGGATCCAACAACAAGTGACTAGCTTGGGCTGCAGAGTGAGTTCCAGGGCAGTCCAGGCTATACAGCAAGATGATATCGTGGAATGATTCTCTTTTATTCATGTAACTGCTACCCTCCTTTCCACGTATCTACTAACTTCTTATTTAAAAAAAAATAGAAAAGATTTTTTTCCCTCTATTTTCTCCACTGCGGGCTTCGTTTATCTTTTGGGAGGTTATTTTTATTATGTATTGTCTTTAGAGTTATGAATCCATATAGAGTTTCATCTCACTTGTCATGACTTATCCTGCTTTCCTCCACACACATTTTCTTCGCTCTGCTCCCTTAAATATGGAAAATGTTCTGTCAATCTTAGCTGACATCTTCTCATTTTAAGGCCTCAGCCTCTACATCTCTACCCTTCAGTGACTAACTCCATTTCATGGCTGTATCGGTTGAGGGGCTTTGTGAAATTCTTTGTTGGAAGGATCTTCTGGGAGGAAAATGCATATAGGCTACATAGTGATTCCAAAAATAGAAATCATCAGAATTTTCCGTAATTGTCACTGCGATGGCTTATGTCACCTCAGATCCTAACCAGAATTGACTTCCTCTTTTTCCTGTCTTCTTGAATCCATCACACAAGACAGCTCTGGAGTGATTATATCATTCACTTACTGAATTCCAATAGGAGACTCATTTTTGGAAGACATGGGTTTGTCATGATCTGTAAACACACATCAAGAATTTTACTACTAACAAGATAAATACCATGTAATTAATGATCTTTTAAAGCCATAAATTCCCTTACCCATTGTCAAATCTCTTGGAAGTATTTACTCTAACAAAATTGTATTTTGATGGAACTATAAAATAACTCATCTGGAAAGGACCTCAGACATCATTTAGTCTCAGCTTCCCAATTTTTTAATTAAAAAGTCCAAGTAGAAAATATATTCATATATATATATATATATATATATATGATTCCCATATACACACATATGTACACATTGTAAATAAAATATACATTGTGTATATAAGTATAACAATATATATATGAATATATTCACTCACTATATATATATGTTTGTGGTTAGTTAGCTCCATACAATAAAATAATCTGAAAAGTGTTTAAACGTGTTTATCTCTGAACCTCACTACTGTGAATGTAGTTGGTCAAGGAGGTGCTGGACATTAGAATGAGAAGAAAACCTCATTACATATCCCTGATAAAATTTTAGTAAGAAATTATTGCTTCAAAGTTTAGGACCAGGATATAGAAGGAGTAGCTTACCCAATGCATTGAAGCCCCACTTGACTAACTAAGGTGAGATGATGTGATACACACTTTGCATATGTATAGTTGTGGTTGAATAAAATAATATAGCTGCTAGGTCGCAAGTCTGTCTCCTCGGCAGAATCACCTACCTTCCAGGATGCTGCACTTTCATGTTAATTTGTCTGGTCTTTCTGTTCTTTTCTACCTTGACCTGACCTCATCTTCTTCTTCTTGATTCTTTTCACTCCTTGACTTCATTTCTTATGCTGAAGACAGACGCTAAAAAGAAATCCCACACTAGCTCAGAATTGAGTATAATAAAGGATTATTTATTTAGAGGTAAACTCACAGATCACAGTCCTCTGCTTGAACAAGGAGCAGCAACTGAATCCCACAGCCAGAAAGAGAGGGCAAAAGCATGGTTTACTTTAGTACTATAGTATAAAAGGCCACACCCAAGTGGGCGGGTAACTTAAAGTCTATTGGATGTAGGAATTCCTACAGCACCTCCCCCTTTTGTTTAAATAAGAGAGTTCTAAGCCTAGTACAAAGTTCTGTACAGTAAGAACAAATATCAGGTATAAAAATAAGGATTACAACCAGCATAAACAAAATCGAGCAAGAAACGTGATAAATGTTTCAATAATTTTCCTATCCTAAGAAGTTTAAGTCCTGTATTATAAATAACTTGACCTAGTCATGAGAGGAAAGTAACTACAACTCTCTAGTCTTCAAATTCATTGAAGACACAAGAAGGGAAATAATATTACTTGAGTAATCAGGAAGTACAATTCCAAAATGTGCAACAAATGACAGAGACAACTGGCTACCTGGGCAATCACCCAAAGTCTCATTTGCAACCTTGAAGCAACCAACTTTGGCTAAGGCCTAGAGTAACTGACAGGCTATTTTCAGAGGAAGGAAAATTTTTAAAACCATTTTACCCTGTCTTGGCAAGATTTGACAGTCTTTTTTCTTGTATCCTGCTTGTCCTGTCCAGACATTGTGCATTTTGTCAGTGTTTAAGGCAAGGGTATATCCTTGCCCAAAGACCAGTTTTGCCAAGAAGGAAACAAGCTCCAAGTGGAATGTCTTGGGTGTTCAACATTCTCTTGGGAATAGATCAGTGGTGCTGCCAGGAGCAAGCATGTCTCACATCAATAGAACCCTAAGTTATTTAAATGTCATAGTCTACAGCTCTTTGAAGTGATGAAAGGTTACCTATTTATACAGAATACAATTTCTATGTATCTAAAGGACCTCATTAGTCTAAATATAAGTATGACAAACATGGATGACTATTGACCTGTAATTCTTAATACCTATATAACTTAAAAACTAAGACTTCATATTAGAATATTAAACAATCTTTAAACAACTGTGCAACAAATGAGGACAATGACTTCAAAATGTAAACAATGTATAAGTATCTTGATTAGAGGTAGAAATGAATATTGCAATATGATAAATATATCCTAAAATTGTATAAATATAAAAAATGTGTTAAGGAGAGGTAGAATCATGCATGCATACAATATGACAAAATAACCTTGTTTAGGTATACAAATATTGTAGATGAAAATAGGAATATATACCAATATAAATTGCTTATTAATAAGAGCTCACAAGTATTCACTCTATTATTCACTATTATTATTAGTGTGAGTAAACTCACACTAATCTATTATCCCATCCAATTTTCTTTTTTTTTCAAAGAGATTCTTGAGCTTACATAATTTTTTACAACCCCCAACCCTATAACAATTATAATCAACACCTAAATGATGTCATTAACTCTGATGACAAACTTAGTTGGGAGAGAGGACACTGTCTTCTAGAATTACTTACAGCTATCATGGGGGCAATGTTCTTTCTATAGGATCCTGTGAAAGTAAAATGATGGTTAAGTTTCAAGATTAAGGTCTGGTATAATTGCAAGTAGTCTCTGAGTATTTGGTAAGATTTTTCTGAGGTTCCTATTTGGAGGTCTGGCCAGAATGTTGTAAAAAAGTGTACCATTTCAACTAACCAAGTTGGAACCATCTTGAGCAGCTGGTACCCTAAACAGGTCTTATAGTTGCACTATCAGCACCCCCTTTTTCTGTCCTGCATGTCATTATAGTGAGAGCTCACATCGACCATCACAGTGTATGCTGTGAAAAAAAAAAACTAATATTGATTCAGCTCCTCCTCATAATATTCCTCATTAGCTTCTTCCAGATCCACAAACAGAGGAGTCCCCAGTACTATTAATCTGATTAGTATTCTCCACAGAAAACAGGAAACTGATGTGGTGGAGACCTTGATAAGACATATATACGCCTATATCACTAAAATGAAGTTCAAAGGTGGTGGAGTTCAGGTAGGTAACTTCCAAAAAAGTAATTCTCGAGTTAGCTTTCTGTTTCTTAGAGGAGAACAGGTTGATTTACTAATCTCCCAATATCATCCATACATGGAAAATGAACAGGTAACATTGCAGTGTGATGGATCTTAAAGTAAAACAGACTCAGGAGAAAAATTACAAATGCGTAAAAATAATTTCAATTAATGACAAGGGAAGTAATTCGAGAACAGTCCCTTTGGGATTCCCAGAGAGATGCTGGATATTAACACGATGTTGTCCTATTCATCTTCCCTGGAGCCCTGAGATGTTTGTCTCATTAAGTTGGAGTTGTAGCTCTACCTGTTTGCTTTAACAGATATTTGTCAGCTTAATGATATTCCTCAGTCGCATGTTGATGAACTAAGAATAAACATTGTTTCTCAGCACTTGATAGGTAATGAATTTGCTTCTACCCTAGTGAAGAATCGGAGGGATATGCTTAGATGGTCTGCGAAACCATTTCCATATGAAAAAAATCCATCCAGTGGAAGCAAGAGAGCAGCTGGGGCTCTTTCTGTCTGTATTCTGCCAGGGATCATTAGGGTTCGACCAAACTATCTTTTCCCATTACTACCTTTATGATGTGTAAAATTGCTTTGAGGACATTCACTCAGTGGAAGTGAGGCACCTTAAGAGATGTGGCTGGAAAAGCAGGGTCTCTGGATAATCACGAGTCGCAGTTTTGGTATAAGTCGGAGTTGGCTAGGTTATGTTGCAGTGGTAAGTGTCATTTAGGTATACAAAAAAGGGTTCATTGCTGGCCACAACTGATTGGTTGGGGTCTTTGTCCCCCTGTCATTATTGGCCACACTTGGTGATTCTCTCTTCAGCCAGACTATCCCATTTAGGATAAGAGAAGCAAAAGAGCTTGTGGAAGCATCCACTGTGTTTCATAACTGTGTTTCATAAATTCTATGCATGGAAATGACTTCCATAATGCACACTCGTTGGTCAAAGGAAATTACATGGCCATAGCTAAGCTCATTAGGATGAGGGAATGCCAGCCCAGTGCAACTGGAACGAGTATGGAAATAAGTAGGTTTATAGTCCTTACACTCAAGGTAATTATAAGAATTTCATTCATTATGAATTCCAAATATAGGATCAAACATAATTACTCAAATACATTTATTAACTTTTACTCTGTGCTAATCTAGATGGCCTTGATTTGTGAAAATGTATATGGATGGTGCCTGATTCCTAATGGTTTGACTTGTGATCTTTCAGCCTTATGATGGTAGGAAAGCAATATGCATTCATTAGAAAGCATGCCTTGAAATCTGATCTTTTTTTTTTGAGCAAACAATACTACACTCTCTTGGAGTGTTAGATGGTGACAGGGGGCCTCATCTCCCCAGAGCTATGCATTCACAAGGAAAAACTACTGAAACACTGCAATGTTGCTGAGCCAACTGTATCAAAAACATTTTGAAGTTATGGGATTTTCAGTTTGGGGGTTTAGAGGTGTTTGATCACATTATAAGTTGGTGGGCATATGTGCAAAACTTGCCTGCTCAATCAATAGAGATGGCACTTGCTGAACTTTGTCTCCAGGGTGATAATCGCTCCCAACTGTGGCACAGTCATAGAAACCTGGTTAGACTAGGATTGCCTACTAGAAAATTCCATCAAAAAACTGAACCACAAGTGAGACATCAGAATCAGTGATGGATATTGTATGACAAGTTTAGCAATAGTGTATGGATTATTGATAGAAAGGAAAGAAAGAGAGACAGAGAGATCAATTGTATATGAATAGGACAATTTATTAAGATTGAAGTTCATTGAGTAAGATTTCTACTTAACTAAAATATAGTTTATGAATATGTCTGAAGGTCAGGATAAGAGTAGTCGATCTTCACCATTTCTCTTAAAATTGACAGTCCCTTTCTACGTTTATCCATTCACAGGCAATCATACATCATTCTCTGCTCTTTCCAGGAAGCAGTAAGCCCTTCAGCAGTCTGCAACCAGTAATCCTGCTTCTAATTTTAGGGTTTTAAGTCCAGGCTTCAAAGGTACTCAGGCAATAGACTGAGAAGATTGAGGGAGTGCGGAGGATTAGCCTTAGGCAGCTGTATGACAAAGCTGTCTCTCCATGCTAGGTAAGAGGGAAAGAGGTTGAGATGTATAATTCCTTTCACATACATCTGTCTTCTTGACCCTTTCATGAACCCAAAGGGCTGAAAATGACTCCCCCCCAGTATACCCCACTTTTGCATTCTACTGGTTTCTTTTATTTCTGTGCTGGGATGTGAAGGGAGTCTCTAATCCGTGCTGCTATGTGAAGTGAGGCTGCTTAAAAACCGCTCCAAGAAATTGCATCACTGAGATTTGATTCATGGTGTATCACACTCAAGTTATACCCAGTGATGCATCCAACCATGTCACCCCACCTAGCGGGTGGGAAAAGAGCTTCCACATCCTTTCACACTTAGGGAAAAGTCCTCAAAATTTTTACACCACCGACCGGAATGACTCACAGGAGATGTTTTATCAGCAGCCACCAATGGAGGCACTCTGATTTTCTGTATTTAAAATCCAAAGGCAGGCCACGGTGCTTTTGACTAAAGTACAAACCCTTTTCTTGAGTGTTGGATGCCCTGTGTATCCTAATTCACACCAATGCTCCCCTGGGATTTATTTCTCTGGATACTGATTTGGTAAGGACGAAAATGGCTTTAACTATGTCCTCTCTAAAACTCAGAGTTATGTGCCTGTATTGAGTAGGAACAGATGGTTCTGCATTTAATTTGCTTAAAGAAACATTGCTATTACAGTTTTTTCACACTAAAACTTTATAAAGGTAAGAGAACTTGCTTTTGTGGTCTCAAATAGTGAGGGCAACAAAAAAAAAATGTAACACCCATGATAGCCATAAAGTTTGATACTC